TAGTTATTATGGAGGTCATGCTGTTAAATATAAATGTCAACTGAGACTAATTAAATTATACATGCTACCAAAAAACCTATTTCTGTACAAGTAATATGGAGGAATAGGCTTTTTGGAATAATTAATTTGACTTTGAGGAATAATTAATTTATTTGCTTATCTTTAAGGCTAATTGAGTATCTGTTCTTTGATGTGACCTCTTTCTTTCTCCTACCCAAAATTACCAGTAACTAGAGTTTCAGTGGATGAGATAGGAGTAACTTCTGTCTGGCTTGTCAGCCGGAGAATTTTGATTATCGTGTGATACAAAGCTGATTGATGTGCCTAACTTGCTTAGGCTGTACTGTTGAAGCAGTGTTGAAATTTTAATTGAGTTTTTCCTGGCATTTCTTTTGGTTTAGTGATTACAGCTGTGCTCTCACTGGTGTATTTTATCTTCTAGAAAGTTTAATCAAGCCATCAGAAAATAGCCTTTAAACTGAATTAAACTAACAGCAGGTAGTTTTGGTCCATTCACGATTGACTGAATTTGAATTAAGATAGTATTTATTAGTCAGTAATTGATGGTTTTTAATCTGTGTTTGGGGTCACTGTTTGAGATACAGCTGCGTATAGTAATGAATCCTTTTGTAATAGAGAGTTGAATTAAAAGGTTAGCAGTGGTTTAGGTGTTTTTCTGCCAGCTTTTTAATTTTATACTTCTGTGACAGTTGACAGGCGGCTTTGGTGTTTTTTGAAAAATTGTGGTATTTAGCAAAAATTTCATACATGACTGCAGTCAATAAGGTAATCACATTTAACTAACAAAGTAGACCTTCCTGTACTATTTCTTGAACAATTACAGTCTTAATGTTTTTCAAATGTTAGGGGGTTTGCTACTGTGTATTTGTGGGCTCCTTGTGGGCTTGACAGGCCTTTCTCATTGTAAATCAAATATTAGATTTCTAAGTATTTGTTAATGTGTTGTTTCAGATAGAATTACATAGATCTTAGCAGGTGTCATTTAATTATAGAGTCGTCGATTATTCTTATGATCATCAAAAGTGTTCTGTAGTTCAACTTTTTCATGGATTTCTTATTGAATGCAAAGGCAGTTACATAATCATAAGAAGCTGCAGATTCTCAGCTGAACTGACTAATAAGCAATGGCAGAAATAATATGGTTCTTAAGAGCAGTGTATCAGATTAAAATTCATACTGAAAAGGGAGGTAACATGGCAAATTACTGATTACTGCTTATTTGCTGTAATTGTGAATTTATATCAGGATAATAAAACTGTTCTGATCCATCTGCCTCAGTGGTTCAAAGATTCAAGATAGTTCACAGGCTCCCTTTTTCCAGGGTAGTAATGGACTTGCTGACATTTGATGGCACTTTTGAAGCTTATTTGTTCTTACTATCAGAGCTAATGTTCTGCATCTCTTTCATAAATATTTTCATTTATGATTTATATTTTTCTGAGATTTTTCCACCTGGATATTTTTAAGATTAGTAGGGATCTTTAAGATTCCACTTATAATTGTTTAATTGATTGGTGAAATTGTAACTTCTCCATAACTGGTGTATAAATTTGTGAGATGAGTGTTTCCACAAACTGTCTTTCTTTCAAAATGATGTAGAGATTGTTTTTTTTGTAGCAGTTAAAAGTACAGTGTGTAGTGATTGTCTGAGTTTACTTCATAAGAAAAAAATAGAAATGTATTCTTATTTTAACTTTCAGGAAGCACAGGCTTATGCAGATGACAACAGCCTATTGTTCATGGAGACGTCTGCCAAGACATCTATGAACGTAAATGAAATATTCATGGCAATTGGTGAGTTTATGAACAAAACGAGAACTTTAAAGAGAATGGTTTTCATGAGATTCAGACCATGGCAATCTTCCTAACCTAAGATCTTTGTTTTTCATGTGAATTATTTTTGGTATTGAAGTGTTCTTACTCCCTTTCATTTGTTTAATTTTATTTAAGCATCTATCTGAAATCCAAAAGCTGTGCCAAAGATGGTAATGTGTGCTTAAATTCAGTGTCCAAGTCATAAGTATAGGACCCTGCATGTGAAAAGTAAATCTACTCATATATTTTTAATTTAACATAATCGTAGGGATTTCTGTAAAGATGCTAGCGTGTAGTAGTAAGTATAAACCAAGAACTTTTGTGTTCCATTGATACCCAAAATTGTATTTAAGTGTTAATAGACTCATGAAAGTGGAGGAAAAAGAACTCATTTTTAGGCTGGCCACTAATCTATTTAGTAGTTGTCTTAATTATAGTAGATGCTTTGATAGTGAGTAGTAGTAATGTATAGCATCAAATAACCTCACTCAATCTGTTTTGTCTGTTGCACCTCTCTAACCTGCTTTTTGTGAAAAAACATCATTGATGTTAGAGTTAAATGTTTTTAAAAAGGTCTTGATCTTCTGCTTTCCAAGCCAGGAGAGCAGGAGGTAGTTTTTGGTGTCTTTCAAACTTCCAGCAGATGCAAATTAAATTATCAACATAGCAACACTTTATAATAAGTACATGCTTCATATTAACTGTAAATAATTGAAAAGGGGGATAGACACAGACACTTAACTGTCAGACAGGTAAGTATATTTTTGTCATAAATGTTCAAGATAAGCATGCATTTAATGATACAGAAATGCTCTACTGTACTATTCGGGTGAAATGTCAAGATTATGTTTAATAGTGCAGGTTGCTTCCTGTTCAAAAAAATCCCCAACATCTGATTTTTTTAAAAATTTGATATATCAACAATAATTCTTGTCTCCATATTTTAATGAAGTCTGTAAAGTAAATTTGAGGGAAAAAATGCCCAGTTAGTAACTGTGTGTTTTGTCTGCAATGTTTTTTGGCCATGTGAAAATTTTACATCAGTGGGGTGAAATTCAGCTTTGTTAGTGCATCAGAACAAGATCTGTGCAGTAATAGACTCTGAATGGAAATTCTGATGACGTTATGAGTATTGCATGTAATTTGGAATGGCCTGCAAAATACAGATGCAATTTTCAGGACCATGTATAAATATGATCTTAAAGCTGAGAGAAAATTAAAAATGAGAATGTTGAAAGAATTGTTGGATGCAAGCTGCAGCTGCTTCTAAATTGACTGCTTCAGCACTCATTCAGAACTCCCAGTTAAAAAAATCCCAATGCTAATTCAGTTCTAGATACAGTTCTAGAATCCAAAACATTGCTCTGAAGACATTTTTCTATTGGTGCATTGACCCTTTTTACTGGCTCAGCAGCTTAGTACCAGGTGGATTCTTGGGTTTTACCACAGAACTGTAGAACAGTCCAAGTTGGAGGAGATATCAGAGGATCCCTGTGGCCCACCCTTTTGCCCAGCACCCTGAGGTTATCTGGCACCACAACATGTTGATGTCTGCTCTGTGGGTTTTTTTTGGCTTGGTTTCATTCAGTTTAGAAAAAGTTTTTTTAAAAACTGATAGAAGTAATTACTTTGGAGTGAAACCATTCAGCCAAACTATAGAACAAGGGTGGTTGTTGGGCCCTGGTAAGATAGGCCCATGGAATTCCTTTTGTGTAGAACTTAGCGATTTTCTGATGGAGAGAAATCCAGGAGAAGCTACTGCTCAGAAGGGCGACAGCTTTCACCCTTATTTTTTGTGTTAAGACTGAGGGACCTTGGAGCTACAAGGGCAACAAAGAAATTACCAGTCAATTGACTGATAAGAACTGGAGATAAAAGACAGCTTGAGGAAAAAACCAGGAGTGGCTTGATGTGGTGTTGAGGGCCATTTTATATGTTGTCTGCAAACACTTACTTGGCTGAATATCTGGGAACTGTTTGACCCATTTCTGTCTGTGTTTTGTGCCTTTTCAATGTTTCTGTATCTTTTTGCACTAACATCCTGATCTTAAAGCCTGTTCTGTGTGGGTGGATTCCCACTAGAGCTGTCATTTACTGGCATAGCACACCTGTGCAGATACATTTTACTGCTCAGGTTCCCAATGCCATTTCACTCCTGGAAATCATAAAGTAGCTAATCATTAAGAAGTGTCTTCACTTCTTTTATTACCAGTGCACCAAATCAAATCAGATTATACAATGAGTACACTGATATGCCTATAATATGTTGTTCTTTTTACTCAGGTGATTTAATCTTAGTAAAATCTCAGGTTTAACTCTTACTTCCTGTTCACCTTACAGCAAAAAAATTGCCCAAGAATGAACCACAGAATGCAGGAGCCAGCTCTGCCAGAGGAAGAGGAGTAGACCTTACTGAACCCACACAACCACCCAAGAGTCAATGTTGTAGTAACTAAAAGATCAATTGCTTTAAACTGTTCTGAATATTCTTCTGCTTCCTAACTGTTAATAACCATGGAATTGGAGTGCTTAACCTGGTCCAGTACAGCTTCCAAACAGCGAAGAGACTTACAATAATAGTCAAGTTCATGATACAGAGTTTTCTTTTCACCTAAAATTTTAACATGCATGTATCCACCACTGGCTGTAATGTTTCAGCAGTAGAGGAGAGATGGAGGCGGAATAAACTTCCTTCAGTTGAAAGGTTTTAAAAATCAGTTGTTATTATTAGAGGTGTAGAAGAACTACTTTCTGTGGACCTAATTGGCCAGTTCGTGTAGCCTCAATACTGATCACTGTTATAATAAATAGAATTGGGTCTTTTCATAATTCTCAATTGTGCTTTAAAACCTCCTTAGAAACAGGGTCTAAAAATTACTTAAACTTATTTGCAGTATTGATGCAACCAGTTGTTTCTGCAGGTATCCATTGTTTAGTTATACATTCCATAGGTTAATAATTTTATTACAAATAATACTTGCATTAACAATTTTAAGAATCCTATGCTTGCCAGAAAGTGGAGTTTTAGTTGGTACACTGTATGTAAATTATATCAACCCAGTTAGTTATCTTAATGAATTAGTGATGAATCAAGTCTAACTTCATTTCTAATCTGTTCAGAGGGTACAGACCAGTAAATTCAACTCTACAACTTAGGATATGGGTTTTTTTGTCCTCTACAAACTGTAAGAGCTCTTCAAGTAAAACCACAACAAACTTGGTGTCTGTGACTTCTTTCTTGTTTCTGATCATTGCTGGCCATTACAGTTTGTTTTTCCCCTAAGGAAAAAAAAATAGTGCACTAACGATTATGTACATCCAACTTGATTTTAAATTTGAATATTAATGTACTGTAAATAGGTACTCTGCATTGTAGTCTACATTTGTTTAATACTTTCTGTAATATTTAAGAGTTGCTTAAAGGTATACAGAATGTACAGTTACTTAAAGCTAACTTTTTTCCTCTCTAATCAAAGGGGGTTCTGAGTTCTTCCTTTATGGCTAGAACAGTAATAAATGATGCTCCTGTATCTGTAACATAAGTACTGCTGTCTGTCAGTAATGAACTTCGCAACTTTGTTTTCCAAAGTACATTTTATTTTGATCAGTCCAGTATATTGCACTAATTCTTTTAGTTATTTTCATTATATGAAATCTACAAAGTGTGTCAGAAGAGATGAATTAGTCTATTTAAATGTTGAACTGATAGAAACTTACTTGTGCAGATTTTAAATTTGCAGTAATCTGGGTTTAGCAAGAAAAATGACAGTTCACCAGTGTTTAGTTTTATATTGAGGTGCTCAGGTTTGAATAAAGTGGTTTAAAAAAATTTTGATTACTGGTTCTTATTCAGAGTTTCAGGAGGTTTTACTGCATTTGTACAGTTCCAGACAAGATGTCTGATTCACTGTATGGGTCAGCATTTAAGATGCTTACAATAAATTCATGGCACAGCTAAATATAAGCTCGTCCTATATATATTGTGGCACTCCAGTTATCCTGTGATAAATCTTTAAATGTTGAGGTAATTGGGTATCTTATCGCATCCATTTAGAAGTATGATCAAAATAGTAATATTGTCTCTTGAACCTGCAGCTAATGCAGTCTTTGCCAGTTGTTCACAAGGTGACTTGTTGCATTGCAGTGTCTCTGAGCTGACTCTGTCTCCTCTGCAGCTTGTGATTTGCAATTGATTTGGTACATTTTTGTGTCTTTTTCAAACTGTGGTGGTGGTTTAGAACCCAGTGGTGATACAGTCTTTTGCAGTTCTTGACCAACATCACCTGCAGTTTGTCACCAAATGAATTGGAGTCCATTTTTTCCTGCCAGCTGTGTATTTGAGTCAGAATTAGATGGCATGGTTTTGTCTATTTTGAGGGCATTTTCGTTGCTTTAGACCTTGATGCCAGCACATTCTCTTGCAGCTGTTTATAGCTGTGACTTGGACCTATTGCACAGAAAGTGTTGGTTTCTTCTTGTTCTGAAGTCTCACTGTGGATGAAAACTTGGGTAAAATTTTCTGTCATCAAATTGAGTTCTTCAGAGTCACCTTGTGTTTAGAATTGGAGCAGTGTATCTCTGTTCTTTGAATTTACTTCATTGTTACTAAAAAGAGACAGTTCTGGATTAGGTTGATTTTTGTGGTCGTTGGTTTCCTTATTAAGAATTCAATTTTTGCTATGCCTGTAATTCTTCCTGGAACATTTTCACTGATTTTGTTTCAGGTTGCCTTTTGAGTCACTCTGAAAAATACTTTGGTTGGAATAAAATAGCTGTATTCTATCTTGCAGATGATTAATAGTGTTTTGAGTCAGTTAAGTTGTCTCCAGTGAGGGATACTAGATACTGAGACACGGTGTCCTCTTTTGTTGAACAGCATTCATGCATTCTCAAGTAATGAGTGGATGTTAAGAGTTGGTGCAAGTACTTTAGGTAATCCAGAACCCCTCAAACCCATTAGAAGTCAAAATAAGAAACTGGCAAGTAACATTGATAGGGACAGATGCAGTATGAAGTACAGATATAACACATGTTCTTTTTACTGGAGCTCTGTGATGTCCAAGAGCCCTTGTAGTTCTCAGGTATCCCTCTACAAATCTGGTTTATTAGTGCTGATGTTTCCACCATTCTGAAGTGTTTTCTCTCACATTGGAAGTGCTGTGCTCTTGAGAGACCTGACTTCATTTTTACGTAAGACTGCACATACATCATCTGAAGTTTAAATAGTATTTATAGCACTCTGGGTGTTTTAAAGATACTGCTGTTACAGTATCAGCCTTTTGTTAAGGACTGGGAAGAAACCTGAGATCATAGTTAATAATCTACTTCACATGCAACAATATGTCCATCATTGAATCTGTTTCTGGTTTTACAGCAAAGTTGTCTGTGGATTTTCCCTTTCCATTCTTTAGAAGACTGTTCTGGAATCTTCATCTCTTTGACTGCGAATAAACTCTTATGAGGAGATTTAGGTGACATTTCATTCAGCTTAAAGTGCAGTCTAATATGAAAAATATGCACTCTAGTTTAAAAGCCAGTCAACATGCAACTTCTCTGTTTTTCTCAAATACTTTTTCTCCTATGAGAACATGTGCTTTCAAGTGTCTGAGCTCAGCAAGAAGTTTCAGCTCAGACTGTTTCTGGCAGCCTACAAATTCTAGTACTTGAAAATACTTTGGACATGATGTAGGGTTTACTGTTTACTTACAGGATGCCTTAAATCTCTTGGTTGAGGCACCCAAGGGAGCAAGAATTCTTAGTCATTGTGGGAAGTTGAGAACTAATTTCTTGGCTTTAGTAGGAAGAGGTATTTTCCCTGTCCCTCAACATTTCTAAAATCTGAGAATTAAAAGTGTTAGTAATTGCAGCACTGCAGGAGGCTGGTCATGTCAGATTTGAATGCAGAGCATAAAGGAAGGAGCTCTGAACCAAAGTGCTGTGTTGTTTGAGATCCTCTGTGGCTGCCCTGGGAGACCATTTCTTGTGTTAGGGGAGGTGTTCAGTTCCCTCCAATGTGTTGGCATAAGGGCAAAAGCAATGCCAGGCAGAAGGAACTTCCTTGGGATGTGGTGACTTTCTAGGCATGAAGCTGGCTGCAGTGTGTTCATTTATATTGTATTTTTAATATCATCTGGCTAGACTGGGGCCCAGACCTCTGAAAAGGGTGTATGAGTAGGCATTGCTTACACAGTAGTTGTTTCTTGGGCAGCACTGGCATCATCGAGTGTAGGAGACAGCTGTGTGTAGTCTGTGAAGGCAGATTTCTTCTGCCTTAAATTAGAAAGTGATTCAAAATACCAAACTGAAGGATGCACCTTTTTAATTACTTATAAATTTTAGATGCCTTAAGTTTTGCTCTGTATGTTTCCTTGTGCTTGTTTCCCCCTCCTTCCTCTGATTTCCATGGAGAGCTAGAAGAATATGTAAAATGTCCTTTAAACCCTTGGAGCAAGACCACCAACTGTAAGCCTGACCAAGGCCATAATATGACCCCTGTGGAACAATCTGACTGCGAGAAAGAGTAAAATTCAGTCCCTTCTGGATGCAAGTCTCTCTTGTCTGCAAACCAGAGACAGGGCAAAAGAATCAACAAAACTTAGCTGACCTGTCAATGTGGGACTAAATGAAGAAGATAGCCCATGTTACCAGCTCCTGCTCCTTGTATCTGACCGTCCTCTTTAGTGGCTTACCTGGAGCTGAAGAAACATGTCTGTAATTCTGTAAGAATGCACTCCTTGGGGAAAAATGAAAGTTCATGTTGTGTGAATGCTTTCCTTTGATGTGGTACATTTGGTGGAAAATTAATTGTATTAGATTAAATAAACGTGTATTTAGCAGTGATTCAGAAATGTGGACTTGAATCATAAAAGATCTAAAGTACCTCTGATGAACTTCAAACCTTAACTTGTTAATAGAGCTTGAATTTTTGTTATCCTTAATTGCAGTCCACATGAAACCCTCTCTGTAAGGAATGGATGAGGCAGGTAACCAGACCCAGAAGTAATTTTGGTAAAGAATTCACCCAGCCTCAGTTCTTGCCTTAATCAGTCTCTTTGAAATAAAATGTATTTCCAATAAGGTGGAAACAAATTCCTCTGAAAACACTGCAGCTTTTTTTGTGAGTTAATGCTGTATTCCAGTAAAGGTGTGACTGCATTTCCTGTAAGAACAGCTGAGCTAGTGCTGAACTACCTGTTTTGATACCTGTACCAGTCAAGGTCACATAGCTGCAGAAAGCTTATTTGAAGTAAAGTACAGCTGTAGCAGCAAGCGTTGAAGAATGGAGGTGATGAGATATACCACAGTTACCTAGAGCAGTGTCAGTGCATGATAAAGTTGGTTTACAGTGTTTACAGGCTGGCAGATGACTGCAAGTTGTTGTTAAGGAAAAGTATTTTTTTTCAATATCTGGAATTGCTTTTTTCAAATGTAGAATTTTATTTTTTTTTTGTCTTGACCACAATGAAGTCTCTCAAATGGTTCTCCCTTTTTCTACTGATATTTGACCCTCTTCATTAATTTTGGTGAAATTCCATAGGAGAAATATAAAGAAGTCTTACAAGTTGTGTGAATGCACACATCACAGAAGAAAGAGTGCCTCTGATGTCAGCTGCAGTGTCAGGCCACTCCTTACTAATGCCAGGGAGAGTAAGAGAGAAGTGGTGCAGAGGGCATGTGCTTCAGGCATGAGGCTGGAAGAGAATGTAGCTGCAGACACAAATCCATTTGGAACTCTTCACTCACCTGCTTTTTTTATACACATTGGTGGTTTTTTTTACCCACTCTGCTTGTGCACTTCTTTGTGGGAAAACAAGTATCTTGCTTGTAATCTCACAGCTGTTTTACCTACAGGAAAGTGGTTAACTGGTAACAAAAATCACCCGGTGGGAAGATACATTGACTGGGGTTGCCAGTCTGCAAAAGCTTTTGTAATGTCCCTTGTAGCAGGGGTGGGTGAAGAATCCTTAGGAATGTATCATTGTTTCTGATTGTAATAAATAACTGATTATTCACTAAAGAAAAGCAAGGTTCTACTTCATAAGGAAACAGGTCTGAATAGTTCTTTCATAGGAGTAAAATACAACAGATTTCTATTTCAGAAAGTAATAATTCAGATTATTCCTTCAAATCATGTTTTCAATTTGCTGGTAGCAAAATGTGGTGACACTTAGTCCAATGAAACAGATTAATTTAACTAATATCTTGAGCATGTTTCATTGACACAAGGACTTTGACACATCAAAAATCAGAAGCCTGTCCTAAAGTGATGACACTTTAAACCTCTTGATTTTAAAAAAAAAAAACAACCAAAAACATACTATTCTTAGAGAGGTCACTTGTATATTATGGAATGTTTCCTATCTCTGTCTTTTACATTAGTAAATTGAATTAAATGCTTTAATTCAAATATTGTGCTCAGGCTACTTATCTAATAAGCTGAATACTATGGTCTGATAGCAGTATCAGTTCTGAGGGAATTTATCCTGTATCCTTCACATTGTCAAGCTAAAGGAATTGCTGCTTTTTATCTCCATATACCAACTGCCAACAAATCTACAAATCTCTAGATTAATTTAGGCTTGCTTTTTTTTTTGGTTTTTTTTTGTTTTGTTTTTTTTTTGTTTTTTTTTGTTTTTTTTACTTAATTGGATGATGGGGGAAAAAAATCCTGGTATGGAATATACTTACCTGTAATAGCAACATGCAGTAGCCCAGCAGCACCTTTGGCTCTCCTGGCTAATGGGCTGTGTGTGTTGTTTTCAGGATGTTTTCTTTGGTGCCATCCATCTCTTCTCTAGGAATTCTTTTTCCCGCTGAACCACCACTCCAGTGAACTTTGGAAACCTCATTCCTTCCCAGCTGTAAAAATCTGCATTCTCCAAAAGGACTTAGCATACACTTTCACAATAGATTGGTCTTGTTGGTCTCCTCATTGCTTGGTTCTTCTCTTTTTTCCTGTAATCTGCCTTGATTAGTCTGGCAAAAAATTCTAGAATTTGCTCTTTGTCATTTTTATTTTTGTGGGAGGAATCTATGTGAGAAAGCTGTTCAAGAAATAGAAGTGGAAGCTTTGCTACAATTGTTTCTGTAGCTGTCACACCGTGACAACCATCATGAATCTCCAGAAAGCATGTACCTGACCTACTTTCATGGTTGTCCAGCGCAATAAACCTGTCTTCCATGTCTCTCTGCCATGTGGAATTTTTATCTTAGCAAATCAGTAATGCTTTTATTAAAGAATCATTTACTTTCTTAGAAGCACCGGGATTGTTGATATTGGCAAGATCACAAAATGGTGTGGGAGTGGGATTATCCACAAGGAATTCAAGTGAGTAATGAACCTTCTGCCTTTGTATCTCAGAGAATTCAGTGGTGTAGAATTTTGGGTACTGCAAGGACCTGACTCCAGTCAGCACCAGCTTCTCTGCCTGTCCTCCAGCCAGAGCTTGTGGCCTCCCCCTGCCCCTGCACCTCCAGTTCTTCCACTGCAGCTCCTTGCTCCAGCCTCCCCCATCAGCTCAGTCTGTCTCACGTCACTGTGCACCCCCAGTGCTGTTCCAGGCCTGGCACCTGGTGCTGCAGAGCCAAGGGTCAGAGCTGGAGAGCCTCCGAGCAAGGTGTTTCCTGATGGAGCCCTGGTGGCACAGAGGGACCTGTCTGAATTCACTACCTGCGCATTGGCATGGCTCTACCTGGCATGGGCAAACTGGTGCTGCTTTCTACATATTGTAACTTGCTCTGGTTTGGGCAAATTGACAAGAATGAAAAGAAGCACTGCTGATGCCATTTCAGCCAAATTGCCAAGTGGTAGTTTAAAACCTGACCGTCTTGGAGCTTCTCTAGGAAAAAAAAAACCTTTTGGCTTAATACATTCAAAACAAAATATTTTCCAAATCCCATTCTCAGGAACAGCTAAGCCATTTTACCTAAATTTTTTTCCCAAGTGATTTCTGCTTCAGGCTTGGAAAATTTCATATGAACTGCTGCTTGCATAACATCCTCTCCCCCTAAACCAGCACGTGATGTGCATGCATAGACACCATAACACAAAATCCTGACACCATGTGAGCAGCTAAGCTTGCCAGCCTATGCTTCATGTATCTACTAAGTATGAAAACACAGTGTTTATATTCAAGTTGATTATGTTTTTTTTTTTTTAGTATCTAGCATTTATGGATGAGAAAAATCAGACAAAAATGCATGTGCGGTTGTATTCTCTGAGATTTCTGTTTCAGTTAATCTTTGTTAATTGCTGATAATTCATCACCAGGGCAAGGGAAGGTAGTTTAGCAGCAGTAGTACCCCACAGGCACATTACAAGAGCAGCCTTTGGGAATTTCATTCTACTTCAACATCATTCCTTTGCTGGGACTCTCTCTTTGCATTCCATATAGCCACACCTGAATAAACTATTTTGCACCTGCTTTTTCCTGCAGGATTTCAGCTAGGAAGTACTTCTAGTACTTTTTTTTTTTTTTTTTTTGGTCTTACTACTTCTCTCCATCACCGGTGTATTATAGGGGTTTCTGCAGTTTGTGTTTCAATGTGTGCCTCTTTTCTGTCATGGCAGTTAGATAAAATGTTAAAGTCAAAGCCCTAACCTCCTCCAGCTGAAATTAATCCTAATACATCTTAATGAATCAAGTGCCTCTGATCAGCTGAGGTAGATCAGTTACAACATATCTTCTGCAAAGGCTGATATTAAGCAGAGCCACTTAAAAACCCCTTATGACAGTTTAGATAGCTTATCCTTTCAGAGGTGGCTTGCAGCTGGCTACAACTCTCAATCTGCTGTAGGATCAGTTTATAGGAAAGTCTCTCTCTACAAGGGGTGAACATCAGACTCCCCTGAAGATGCTGCACCTCTCCAGCAGGGAAAGGTAAGGAGGTGCATGGGTAAAGCTGCTTGTGCAGATCCCTTTTCCTTTATTCTGCATAATTTGAATTTGAGACAGAGATGTCACAAGACTTTTCAGTGCTTTCATTACAATGATGCATTCAAGCCTGAGAAAAATTAGGACTAATGTATGCAAAACACCTCGTAAGCTATTTTTTGTCAGTCTTTTAAATAGTAACCCATTTTATGTGTATACAAAAGCCCCTTGGATTAGAGACAGGAAATTGATAACTTTCAGCAAAATGTTAGTTTTATCTCAGCAAACTGAATTCTTAACACTCACATACATTTTACATGGGTTTGTGTCACCACAAGTGGCTGTAAGTGCTAAGAAATCACATTTTCAAAGCACCAAAACAGTCCCAGTTAATTACAATGTGTAAATAATCAGGAGAATATTAATATTATTAATAATAATTCATGTAGCAGGATAGACTGTAACACTTTAGTTGCAATAACTTTGCTTATAATTATTAAAAGGGCAGTCCTGATGTTAATTTTTTATGCTATGCATAAATTGCTTATGTTAATAGCTAAAAACCTTTTAAAAATATTAAAAAATAAACTTTTGCTTTGCTGATCTCTAATGAAGTAAAAAGATTAGTCTGTATGTCCTTCTCTCCTTGTATTTCTCTCATCAGGAACAAATACAGACTGGGAGGTTTTTTTGCTGTCAGGTTAAAGGATAACAGTGAGATACTGACAGAACAATACACCAAGCTAAGGCACTGCCAGCCTCACAGTGAAAGATAAAATTCAGCTTTCTCGCTCACTGCAGTTTCCCTGTGCCTATTTAGGGAACCAAAACCCAACACAGTTTAATGTTCTGAGATGAAAATAGAAGCAGATAAAAAGAAATTAGATGTAGAAGAATGGGGAGTGAACCACAGCTTGAGATTATGCATGTTTTCAAGAGCAAAAAAATTGTATTTACTGTGTGTCATAACAAAGAGCTTCCTGGTCAGAGCTTAGTCTGCCATAGACTGACCTGTCTAAAAGGGACAGAATGATGCAGAGCATGAGGTTCATATGGCAGATGATACCATTGTCTCAGTAAATCTCATATTTTTGGAAAACCTTTCTAGCTATGACACTTGGAGCTGCTTGCTGTTAATAAGGTAAGGCAAGATTATTTTCCGTTTCTGCAGTTTGGCACTACAACCATCATTTTTTTAATTACCAAAGATGGAAGATGTTCCAGAGCTTTAAGGATGGAAGATCTGAGTATCTGAACAGCCTAGTCCCAAATGCAGTTATCTCCCTTTGATACATGTTGTTCCTATCTCCACCCAGAGAGAGCTTCTTCCTCACTTCCCTTTGACACAGTCAGAACTTAGCTTGCACAATCTCCAGGCCTGAACTCCTTCCTCTCTTAGGTTTGGGGGTTTTATTATTTGCTACATACTTGTGGTCTTAGAAGATGGTGACTGTCGTTGCTGCTGAAACCAATGCTGGAAAGATGCCTGCCTGTGGGTGATGAGGCAGAGAAGGACTGTGGGATGTAAAATGGAGGTCATGGTCTCCCTGAGTTTCTCATCAAAATATTATCAACTAGTACATATAAACAAATTCTTGCTGAAGAGCACCAGCTTCCTTGCCTGTCTTTTCCTGCTTCCCTAATGTACCTATTTACCTATTGCTCATGTCGTGCTTCCCTCTCAGTCCTCTCCTTCCCATGTGCCTGTGACACCAGGACATGGCTTCATTGCATGTCACCTTCAGCACAGTTCCTGCAGCAGCACCTCCCCTGGAAAACAGTGGATGCATCACACTCGCGTGCAGCAACCATGACAGAGACTCAGAGTGGCCAGGACTGTCCCTGAGCTGCAGGGTGCCCGATGCCACCAGCATGAGTCAAGGAGCCACGCAGGGTGGGCAGTGAGGCATTGGCACTGCTCTGGTGCAGTGTGGCTGTGCTGTGCAGCTCACACCCTGCTCACAGCTGCAGCCAGCCTCTGCTGGGGGTGCTGCTTTAGCAGGTCCCAGGTCCACGTGGTCACCTTTGGCCAAAGCAGCAAAGAGCAAATATCTTCTGTGAAAACCTGTACAAAGCCTTCCCCAAAGGCCTCTGAAAAAGTCTTCACATGGAAAAACAAACTCATTTGCTAACCCAGGAGCCATGCCCTATACCTTCCATTATTTTTTTATCAGAGCTGATCCTCTCATTCTCTAAAACCATCCACAGAGGGAATGGTGCAGAAGGAGCAAGACATCTTCTCCCAAGTGAGTCAACTTGGGTGCGCGTGTATAGCCTACTTACTGCATCCCCAGAAGCAGTGATGCAGCTTCAAGAAAGTCTAGTTATGATAGGTGTGGGAAGAGATAAAGACAAACTTGTGAGTCACAGGAGAATGCCAGGGGCAGAGCCTACATTCGGGACTCGGAATCCTGTACTCCCACCTGTAAACCTGATAATAGGTAAGAAAGAAGGAAGTGATTGATGATTAAAATAATTATGGAATAAATTAAGATAATTAGTCTCCTTATTTATCTCCTAAAGTGTTGTCCAAAACTGGAATCCCGGGATTCCAGGCCCTCTGGTTTTGTGCCACCCTCTAAAATAAGAGTCCTCATCATTAGGTCTTCTTCGGCAAGAGTTCTAATTTGTTACACTGTCCACTTGTGCAGAGCTGCAGCTCCTCAGCTGGGAGGAAGCATCAAAATGGGAAATGGGAGTAGTGAAACAACAACAAACCAGCTCTTTCTACACTCCAGATATTTTGCAGCTCTTCCTCATAGATGGGTCAGTCTCAGTGAGGGAGAAGTAGCAGTTTGCTATTCCCCAAGGGCCTGTGTGGGGCAGAGAGGCTGTGAAACAATGAGTGAGGATCGTGAGCCTGCCAGCCTTGGCACAGGAGGTGAGAGATGTGAGGGTTTGGGGACCCACAAAGAAAGCTGTGGCAGAAGGTAGAATGGATGGTGATAATGTAACTGTGCCTTCTGCAGTCCCAGTGACCTCCTGCCTCCTTCACCCCACAGATCCCATCTGGGGTTGGTGCTGCACTCCTAGGGCTCCTCTGCATTTGTCAGCTGTACACAGCACTGTTACAGTCAGTCCAAATGCAAGTTTTTAGCCTGTCTAGTTTCTGCTTCTTGGCTGAGGGGTTAGCAGTGGTGCCTGTGGTTGTGTGTCTAGTTCCTGGAAAATCTAGGATTTCCAGGTGGTCCCCCACACAGATATGTGGAAGGCCCATGACTGAGTTTGCACAACCAGATGTGCTTAGGCCACTGAAACTTCATCCTACAGAAATAATATCTATGTCAATGTTGTATCAAGGGTGCTGGCTGGCACCAGGAGAAAGGAGGCCCTTTCTCTCCCATCCCTGCCAGCAGTGCCTGGGCCAGTATCCCAGGGGTATTTCAGGCTTCGAGCACCAAATGGCCTGCCCTACGTGGCACAAGCAGTCAAAATGCTCTAAGTGGAGTCCCAGAGGTTTGCAGGGATCTCTGCCACGAATTAAGGAATAGAAAGAACAGAAAAATACATTAAAGAAAGGAATAAACTAAAGAATTGTGAGGAGTCAAAGAGAAGGTAAGGGAAAAATAGGTGTTACATCCCATGTTTGCGAGAAGAGATCCAGAGCTCTACTACCACAAAATAATACATTGAAAGCCTATGCAGTGACTGCTAATGGCTAAATAACTTCAACAAACATCTTCTGGACCTCACACACACAGCTCAAATGGTGCAAAGGCAGGAGTGACTCCAGCTTTTAGCTTTCTCACTTGGTTTGGATTAAATCAAAACTCTGCAGTCAAGAAGAGCATCCTCTGGGTAAGAAGCACATAAAAACTGCTAAATGGTCCATCACTAAAAAGAAATTTGTGTGACTGGAGCAGCCATGGGTGTTGCAAATAACATTTTATCCATTTATTTTTCTGCATTTTTCCCATTAGAAACTGGGTAATTGGGGTGTGAGGTTTCCTACCAGAGCAAAAACCTGATGGGAAGGTCTGTGCTGTTGGAGTCATATGTGAGCACCATGGGAAGCTGACGAGATGCTAGAGGCAGCCTAATGAGCAAAACTTTTGTATTGTTAATACTTCCAGTGATTCATAAATTATTGATAGCACTCCTGAATGCCTGGTGGCCAGGAGGGAGGCCACTTCACCCACAAGGAATGCACTAATGAAAGGATACAATAGGATTTCATACTCAGTTCCCTGAAAGAGCAAGAGCTATGCTTTTCCTATTGGAATTGAATGGCAAGAGTAAAAACAGGTGGAAGAAAATCTCTCTTGAGGAAAAGGAGGGAGACAAGGCTGGGTTGGGGATGCTGGATCTGACTGGGCTGTGAGACAGGGATGAGGGTTAGGGGTAGACTCCCACAGCTCAACTGTGGACTGGGTGGTCCCTGTCAGAGCAGTAGCATACAGCATTAGGCTGCTATTAACTGAGTCATTATTTAATTTATGGGAGCAAGATAGGCCCCAAAAGCCTAAATGACAACTTGGTAATAACCAGGAGTCCGGCACGCCCTGAACTGTATTTTGATTTCCTCTTTTGTGACTCAAGAATGCAGCTGCCTCCTTTGCCTCCTTGGAATAATACAAACACACAGGCTCTTGCATTTAAGCCTGTCAGGTGTTCACGGTGAATTCAGGCAGGAGCAACAAATGTGAAATGCATGTCTGACCTGCTGGGAGCATGGCTCTGGGCAGGGATCTCCTCGGGGCTGTCAGCAGCCTGAGTGAGACCTGAGACCCACATGAGCTGGCGCCTGTGTCTCACCTGGCTCCTGGCTTCCCTAATTTGATGCAGACGAGTAGCATTCCTGAAGTCACCTGGCCACTCACCTGAGCTTGTGAGCAGTGCAGGCAGGATGCAGGATCATCTGCTCCCACCTGGGCTTCCTCAACTCGGGTTTCAGAGTCAGTTCCACTTGTGCAAACCCACTGACACGCCCCAAAGGACAGAAACTGAAAACTGTGGTGAGGGTTTTTCAGACAATACTGTGAGTTTGAATCTAATTTAATATATTCATGTTTAATGATGAAAACCAAGCAACAGAGGGGTTACGTGGGGCTCAGATTTATGCATGCATTATAATTAGAAAATTAGTACGTGCTGCACTTCTGAATTCAGCCAACAGAAGAAACCAGCTTAGATATATGCAACAATGACATGAGTCCACTCCTATCTCAAAGCATAAGGGGTTTGTTTTTTGCCTTTTCACTCCTTAGTCTTGTTAAAATTTTAAATGTAATATTTTTCTTTTCACTACAGCAGTTTAAGACAAAGTAAAGCTTTTTTTCATTTTGTTTTTAACAACATATTTGCACAAAGTTAGAATGTGAGCAATGATCAGGCTTAATGTTAAAAAAAAGAAAGGGGAAAACTTACCTATTCACAGTTAGAGTGAATAGAGCTTCTTTCTAAGCAGCTTCTAGCAGGCAGCAGTTCTGCAAGTGTAGTGAAATTAGTGTTTATAAATGTTACTATAGTAACTGTATCTGTAGCCACAAGCTGGTAGACTTACATTTCTGGTTATCTGGCGAGCATCAAGGTATAATGGAAAAAAAGAGAAATGGCATTGTAAGGCAGCCATGCTCTTGAGGATTCAAGAAGGAACTGCAGTAAAATTATTTGCTTCCTGACAACTTTCATCTTTGATTTTACTTTAATGGAAGTAATAAGTTTTCAGGCTTTTAAGGTTCCTAAAGAATAAGGTTGTTCACCTAGGCTGTGATACTGTGAGCATTCACCTGTGCAGTTTCAGACATAAATGCCCACTGAGTGGTCTTGATGCACATCGGTGGAGTTATTCATGTATGTGAAAGCAGTAAACGTATTTTCAGTACCAAAACTGTAATTCATTACATGCAAGTGTGCAAACTTAATGCTGGTTTAAATATCATTATCTACCTGGTTAAAGGAGAACCTGGTGTTTGGGGAAAAAAAAAAAAAAAAGGAAAAACATACAGGGGCACGTAAAGGTACATCTACTCCCGGGAAAACTAGGAGTCGATGTTCAGGCGGGGATATTAAATGGTCCATTGCAGCCAGCATGTTGTTCCAGATGTGCTCTTTGCTCGGAACATTTGCTCTGCCGAGGAGGAGTCGTGGGAAAGCTGAAAGCGAAACTAAGCAAGAACAGTTTCATTTTCAAGTCCGAAAGAAGAAACCTAACCGGCATAAAGAAAATGCAAGCAAAGAGCTTCTTAGGGGCTACTAATATACACCGGCTATTTGTTATTTTAAAACGTGATTCGGACACCTACAACAAAAATTTAAAAACAAAAGACGAAGATAATTCTCTCCTAAATTACAGAGAAACTGGATTTTCGTATCACGTTTAATTTCCTATTAATCTTGAGGCTGCTGCCGCCAAGGGCAGCGGCTCCTCCACCTTAACCAGTCCGTCTTAAAGCGGCGGGGATGGCAGCAGCCATCTTACGGGTCGCTGTCACCGCTGCGGGAAGCCCGAAGCGCGCCCGTCTGCTCCCGCGCGGCCCGGGCACCCCGGCTCGGATGGCAGGGCTGACCCCATCCCATCAACACCCTGCCCAGTTTAAAACCTCACCTCAAAATAAAAATATAAATAAGCAAATAGTGGAAAAAAACAGATCTTCCTGTTTCATTAAATGCTTCATTTTATTCCATTCTGGTTTCCTGTAATTTCGTGAATATGCCAACTCGCTGTGTAACAGCAAGCTTAAAAATATCCCCAGGAGCTGCGAAGGGAAGAAGGACGCCGCAGGGTTTTGTCATCCACCCTTCCCCCCAAATATTACTTCGCACAAACCTAGAGTTATTTTTGCTTTCCCCATGCAAGCTGCCAAGGCCCTGTGCCTGCAAAGCCCTCTCTGTGCGCTGGGACTTCCCTCCAAACTCACACTGCTTTTTTGATAGTTTAGCTTCACACATCAAAGAACCGTAAATCCCACGCAAACGCCCAGCCTCAATGCCAACCCTTCAAACCGGGTGCCGTAGTAGGGAATTGCCATTTGTGGTTTCTCACGGCTCAACCACGGTTTTACATACGCGCAGCGGGGCAGAACCGCCTCGCAGCCGGTGCACTTGCTGCTGTGCACGGAGTGCGCTCGCTCTCTGGAGCAGGGCCATTTCCTTAATTTAACTTTCAATTAAAGGGTAATCCCTTTAAGGTACAAACTGACCGGCTCTCAACACTTGTTTCTGGACACAACAAAAAACCAAGCCCCAGAACCGTGACACGAGAAACTAATCTGAGAGTTTTTGAATTAGCCAGTATTTGAAACTGACCCGTACTTTTACATTCAATTAGAAATGATCTGGGGAAGAAGCCGGGTGGCCGCAGAGTACACAATGTGGGAAGGCAATGGTTAAGCCAAAC